ACTAATAGGGCTCCTGTGGACCCACATAGGAGTGAGGAGCCAGAACAACTGAAAAACTGGAGCCACTCAGTGACTGGTGAGTCATCACAGGGGACTGGTGTACGGCCCATCCCATGAGAAGTGTTTGCAGCATGGGCAATAGGAGAGACGGGCCCACTGGGGAACACTGGGGCACAGTGTTCAAATAAAGTCAACCATTATAACCCGTGCTGCACAAAAAGCCTTCCCTAGGGAAGCAGCAGCAAAGCAGCAAATTAGCTAAACCACAGAGCTCAAGTACTGGGCCCAACAGGAAGTTCCCACACTTTAGAAGAAAGCAAAGAACAAAAAAATTAGTTCCAGCTGCAAGACACCGCCAGCACCTGTGGTCCACTCTGGGACGTAAGGCATGGAGACAGGTACTGGACTCCCCTCTCATGACCTGGCACACCATACCAGCACCTTGGGGCCCGCATGGGGACCCGAGGCATGAAGGGGACTGAACCCACCACCCACAACCTGGCATACTGTACCAACACCTCGGGGCCCACCCGGGGACCTGAGGCATGGAGAAGGAGACTGGATCCCCCGCCTCCCACAACCAGGCACACCGTGGCAGTGCCTTGGGGCCCACCTCAGGACCCAAGGCATGGGGCTGGGGACCGGACTCCCCTCCCACAACCAGGCACACTGCCTGCACCAAGGAGCATGTCAAAAACATCACCTCCTTGTGGGTGGCCCACCACAGCCACCACGATAACCATGGCTGCTGTGAAAGTGGCTAGACACCGCAATCACCCTGCAGACGGTCTGCCAGCCACTGGAGTACATTGACACAAGGAGAGTCACCAGCAGAGATAAAGAAGAGGATGTCTCTCTCCACAAAGCCCATTCTAGAGTGACAGAAGAAGCATCTGCTCTGTCATAATATTGGGGGACCTGAACACACGTCTCAGCATTGGACTGATCATCTAGGCAACAAATCAACAGAGTAATGATTATTCTTGCAGAAGGAGAAAAGAAATCCAGGGTAAACTGAGGGGCTGGGGGGAGGGGGATGGGGTGAGATTGGACAAGGGGTGTAAAGAATAAATATGATTTGTAATAATATATATGTTAGTAATATTGATTTGATTTGATGAACATATGTCAATGTTGAACCTCCAAAATATGTATAATCAATTCTGACTTAATAAAAAGTTTAAAAAAAAAAAAGTCTCTTTCGGTCTAGCCGGTTAGTTCAGTTGATTAGAACGTGCTACTGATAACGCCAAGGTCCAGGGTTCGATCCCTGTACTGGTCAGCCATCCCCCCACCCCCCCAAAAATAATCTGTTTCAAGTCTTTCTTTTACTGAAGACTTACTATTTGGCTATTTTCCTCTAAATGTTTACAGTGAAACTATTCTAAAGAAAATAGGACTATGGAAAGATCAAGACCAAAACATGTCAAGTTAAAAAACAGAGAGTAATAGCAGAAAGGGTGTTATTAAAAGCCAAGAAATAAACATTGACATCAAAATGTTAAAGTCATTAGTAAATAATATATTTTAAATTGAAGCATATGATGCTCCTTGTAATTTTATTTAATGTTTAGGCTTTCTTTATACATGAAAAAGTTGTAAAGTAAAATTATTTTGGGGGTAAAAAAATTCAATTAAAATGTGAAAAATGTCAATGACTTTCTGTTAATTGTTAGCATTATACGTTAGGTAGGTGTGAATAATTTACAGCCATAGACGATTTGACCAACAGTATCAATTCAATCAAATGTTTGATGATCTATTTTCATGTTGTCAAGGCCTTTTGACATTATTATATTAATTGAAGTCACACATTACCATTACCACTGGCTTTCATTTCAAAAAGCAAAATACTTCTTATACATATGCCGGCTCTTCCTTATAATGTTGTTCCTAGGTGGAACCATCTCATAAGGATTTTTTTCCTGATATTTTCAGTAATTACTTTAAACTCTACTAGATATAATACAGTTTTATTTATAGCAATAAACCATGTTTTTTAAAACAATAAACATTATAATAAAGCATACATAAACAAAGTTTCAGAGAAACATTAATCATCTAATTACCTGCACAGAGTTTCCATGTCTCTGTATGGCTAGTTTTCAATTAAAAAGGTTTAAAAAGATGCTTCTAACTTATCTGTCAAGGCTACAAGAACAATTGAATGGAACATAGCACCATATTAGTAAAATAAATATGGGCCATCCACTGTAACTGAAAGTAGAAAGCCTCATAATAGGCCTACTATCACTAGGGATAATTTATGCAAATTCCTTCTGCTCAATTTGCCACCAAGCTATCTTAAAAATTATTAGAACAAGCTGGAACTATTTGGATATAGGTTAAAACTGATTACTTGATCTATTACGATGTCTTAACTAGGAATAGTCAGAGACTAAACCAGAAATGTGGTTGGTACTTCTCTAAAGATAGGTGAAGAGTCTCAAAGGGTCTCTGTGCAGATTAAATGAGCTGCCCAGAAGAGAGAATCAAGATGGCAGAATAGATGGTTCCCAGCATCACTCTCTCCCCAATCAACCAATTTACAACTATTAAAAAGCAAACACTGGGCCTAGCCCGTGGCGCCCTCGGGAGAGTGCAGCGCTGGGAGCACGGTGCGGCCAGTCTCAAAAAAGGACAAAAAAAAAAAAGCAAACACTGCCAAGATGGGGTCGCTAGAGCTCAGGGGAAGAGGAGGAGAGACCTACGGAGTTCATGAAGGTGGGAGAAGCCACGATAAGAGAAAGATGGGACCACTCCAACTGTTTTGAGCCCTGACAACTTCAAGGCTGGCCCTGATGAGCACACGGAACAAGAGCTGGCAAAAACCACAGCTGTGCCCTTTGTGTGAAGTTGATTGGAGATTGCAGGGGAGAGGATTGCCTTGGTGGCCCCCAGTTTAGCAAGACCACTGACAGAGTTCCTATAGACCCATGTATGAGTGAGGGGCCATAGACAACTGAAAAAAGGAGCCACACAAAGGCTGGTGAGTCATCGCAAGAAACTGGCACATGGCCTGCATCCTGGGAAGTGTCTGGAGTGCAGGGGATGGGGAAAACAGGCCCACCAGGGGAACATTAGGGCACAGCACTGACAGGTGGTCTGCCCCCTAATCAGCACAGGCCCACTCAGTAGAGACTGGTCAGGAATATAGAACCACCACGGGTGCAGTTTGCTGAAAAGACTTAGGCTTAAACCAGAGTTTCCACACAACCCAGTAGTATCAGAACTCACAAGACCCAGAAGTGCTTACAAGGTCAACAATTAAAACCTGAGCTGCACAAAAAGCCTTCCCTAGGGAATCAGCAGAAAAGCAGCAATTTAGCTCAACCACAGGGCTCAAGTGCTGGTCCCCAGGGGAAGATCCCCCATTTTAGAAGCAAAGTACAACAAATTAATTCCAATGCAGAGTTTAAGTGGTGGGGGTAGCTAATAATCCAACACAGAACTGAAAACAAACCCAAAACACCCACAGATCAGAAACAAAGTTCTGATGTTAACTACTAAAGGTCTAACACCACCAAAGAACACTTATAAAATGTAAAAGAGCTGGAAGCCCCCCCCCCCCGCCCAACTGGGCCTCCAAGCCTGGGTTGGCAGAGGGGCAAGGGCCTAAGGCAGAAGCCCCCATATCCACATCCAGCCCAGCTACTAGCATACTGCTGCTGGAAACCCTTCAGGCCAGAGTTGGGGGCACCAATGGCCTCAGCCACACCCACCAACATTCACATTCAGCCCAGCAAAAACCAAGCCGCTACTGGAAACCCCCAGGCTCCCAAGTCAGAGTGGAGGGTGGCCCACGGGCCTCAGCCACACCCCCCTGCCCTCTGCAATCAGGCCAGTGAAGGAGTCATCCGTGAGCCAGCCCCACACCACCGCCACCCCATCCCCCTCCTACCCACCCTCTTCCCCTCCCCCTCCCACTGCTCTGCAACATCTTAGAATGTAAAAAAAATAATAATTAATTAATTTTAAAAAACAATAGGTGAAGATACCAGATTTTGGCACATTCTCTAGAATTAATACATCTATGATAGTTAAAAATATATTGAATATTATATTTTCTTTAGATTTCAGTTAGCATACATATAAACTAGCTACATGTGTGTGCTTAACTTTAAAACATTAATGTATAGAATATTAAGATTATGATTCAGTTATGTAGCTGTTATTTTAAATGCATGCAAACAGCTCATTCAAATAGAATAATTTTAGGGTTAAACTTCCATTCTCTAGTGCTGCAATCTTTAGAAAGTAAATCAGGGCCGAGCCCGTGGCGCACTCGGGAGAGTGCAGCGCTGGGAGCGCAGCAGCAGAACTTCCGCCGCGGGTTCGGATCCTATATAGAGATGGCCGCTGCGCTCACTGGCTGAGTGCCATGCGGCTGGTCTCAAAAAAAAAAAAGAAAGTAAATCAACACTTTTCCATTACAATTTTAAGCGCCTCACTTCCTCCGATCATTTACTAACAGTTTAAGAACTAGGTAACAGTAGGAGGGTACTTTAAAAAGTTCATGGAAAGCCTGTGGGGTCACCCTGGGTCCTGACCCCACCTGGGTGGTCATTCGTTGGCCTGGAGTTGGAAGGCTGAATGGCTGGGGGATAACCAGTCTTCCTCTGTGGCCTTCCTCTGTGGCTGACCTCTGCTGCCCTCCTCTTCGGCAGTTGAAAGCCAAAGTTGACATGAAAATACAGTTATTTGGGCCTTTTAAAAAATAAGTTCATGTAAAAATTTGTACACTCTTTTAATTTCATTTTTCTATGAACTTTCTGAAGTACCCTCTTATAACAACAACAGGCAGGTTGGCCACTTTTTATTAACAGATATATATATTTTTTTTCTGGTTTAAATTCATAAGAAAGTTAAAAACTTTCACCAAAGTAAAGATGCCAGTAAATTAATATTTAGTCAAGTCAGTATTTATAGTTAATCAAGTACTATATAATTAGTACTTTTAAACAAAATCATTAAAGTTTACAGATAAGGGTACCACTTACAAGCTGCTCTGATTTTACACCATATAACTGGATGGTCTTTGCCACGTTTTTTGACACAGCTAATGTAAGGTTTGCATCAACAGCAGCTACATTTAGTTCACTAGAGAAAACAAAAACAGATTTTTAATTATCAGCAACACAGTTCATCAACAAAGTGAAGAGCAACATAAAAAACTAAACCCAGTAAGCAATGGTGATTCTTTCGTAGATTTAACTGATTGCATCTGAGAATTGGTTGCATTGTTTCATTTTCCCCCCTAAATTCAGCATGAGGAAAAAGTGCTCTGAGATGTCGTTGTTAATGACTAGTTTCTCATTAATAAAAGCATGTCATGTGTGGGTTCAGTCTGTGATTAACAAAATAAATTGTGTACAGATTTTTAAAGTAGCACTCTGGCTAATACCGATAAGTGCAATTAAAGGCACAGCATATCATAGACATCTGCAAGGAAATGACAGCTCTTGAATGAAAATTATGACCTTGGAGGGACATAGGCTAAAAATATAAAGTACACGTGGCACTCAGTTTCTGTAGAAATTATGCCAATTCATGCTATTTCATATAGGGTAGCTTTATAAATATATCAAAAGCATAATAGGGCTATAATTCAAAATTTTTAAAATTTGGATTCTTAAAGTACTCCTCATTCTTATTTTCAACTTTAGCATTGGATTTATTGAGACATTTGATGTGACTGCCAAAAAAAAATATTTTTTTTTTACAAGACCATGTAAAGAATACTAGGAGCTAAAAATTGCAAGAAAACACATATACAAGTAAGTATCGTCTCTAAAATAGCAGAATAAATCTTGGCACTTACCAGATTTCCTTTTTAATAAAATTGAAGGAGTCTGAAACAATACTAGTTCATACTATGTGTGATAAAAATGCCCTTACATATAGTATTGAGACATACTTTTATTTTTATTTTTATTTTTTGTCTTTTGTCTTTTTTCCGTGTCCGGCAACGGATCGCAACCCTCAGTGTCGCCCCCGCACCGGACCGGGACCGGCCACGGGATCGCAACCCTCGGTGCTGCTCCCGCACCTCGCTCAGCCAGTGAGCGGGAACCGGTCTGTATGTGGGATCCGAACCCTCGGGCGGGAGCGCCGCCGCGCTTCCCAAGCGGCACACTATCCAGGGCGCCACCAGGCCGGCCCCCTGAGACATGCGGGAGCGCCGCCGCGCTTCCCAAGCGGCACACTATCCAGGGCGCCACCAGGCCGGCCCCCTGAGACATGCGGGAGCGCCGCCGCGCTTCCCAAGCGGCACACTATCCAGTGCGCCACCAGGCCGGCCCCCTGAGACATACTTTTATTAATGTCCACTTTTATATTCTATTAAACACTACCATAAATATGCTTCAAGTTCCAGATTATATTTGCTTATAGCACTGTCAAGTTGCACTGAGGAATGGGAAAGATGCCTCTTTAACATTTATATACAAGGGGCTGGCCAGTTAGCTCAGCTGGTTAGATCACGGTGTTATAACAACAAGGTCAAGGGTTTGAATCCCCACACCGCCAGACTGAATCCCCACACCGCCAAAAAAAAAAAAGAATAGAGAGGGAATAACTAATATTTACATAAAAGGTCAAAGAGATCAAGTTGAAGCTAGGACTGTTTTTATCACTTCTACATTAAACAGATAGTAGAGACATCAGGGTAAAAAATCTAGGTCAGGTCTTTGGAAAATCAAAATAATTGTGGAGATTTAGGACCAAGATGCTGGGAAATCTAGAGACTTTATAGGTACATTTGCAGCTGAAGATATGCTATGTATATTATACCTGAGGCTTTTTAGTGTTACTATTCTGTGCTTCAGAATCACCATGTTTAAATATGTAGTCTAAAAGACTTTAGACAGTTCCACATCTTGGTCTTATATTGCCCAACTACTATTTTTACTCCCCAAAATGTCTATCTCAAATGTACAAACCTACTGTTATGACAACTTGTTAGCTGTGACAGGAACTCAGATAGTCTTAAATGCAAATTAATCTGGATAACTTTTAACTGTAAATGTCTTAAGGCAGCAGTATAATTACATTGTCTGCAAGAGTTCAAATGGTACCTCTGCTAGGATACCTTCCCTTTTTTGAGTTTTAAAAGCTGTAACATTCACTCAAAAAAATTAAAATAGCAAACACAAGTAAGCTAATCCTGTTTTTGCCGTGAAGCACTTTCTGGGTTTAGGATAAAAAACATTAACCTCTATGTTTTAGTTTTAACTTGTAAAATTACTGTTATATTCACTTTCCTATGTAATATTAGGAACTAATTTACTAATGATATAAAGAGCTAGGTTTACTTTGCATCCTTGGCAAGATACAGAATAATTATAACAGACTATTTTTAGATTGTATTTAAATGATTGTATTGATTGGAAACTCAAGTACTTACTATTACTCATTCACTTCAAACCTTTTGATTTAAATGCAGGCCTAGTTACTAGGACAATTGGAGATAAATTTAAAATGTACTGCTATCATACATCACTAAAAATGTAGCAGGCATTTTATGGCATGCCATTATATAAAAAAATACATACCTTGCTATAGTTTTAATGATACCATCAAGTTCATCAGAGGAAGGAGGGTTACGACCACCAGGGGGAAAAACCAAGTTGATAGGATCAAAGAGTCGAGACAAGGATTTCGATAGATAAGCAGCCTCGTAGGGTTGCAGTGAGTCTTTCAAAGCCTTTTCTGGACTGTGGAAACAAAATGTTTAAATGCTAACAAATTATACAAAACTAAATACTATCATATCAGGCTGTAAATACGTTTTTAAAAAATATCCCCCATTAAAAAAAACCCCAAAACTCTATATTAATAAAAAGGAAAATAATTTGTTTTAAAATGTGTAAATATATTTACAGGTACCATTAATAATTAAACATTTATTAAGGACTACACATTTTAACTTACACATAAGTCCTATCTATAAATGTAATATAAGAGGTACCAATAACTACTGTATTGTCTGTCACTTAAAACCAAAAGAACAACACTGTAAAATCCTATTAATTTTAATGGAGGCTACGTTTTTCCTTAGCAAATGCTGTATTTATAGAGTATCAAAGCACGTACAAGAGAGGCAAGCCTGAAGAGACCTGCTCCATTAGTTCAACCATTTTCACCACAGCTGCCACCTCCCATAAAACTCACCATCTGAGATGGAAGTGTACAGATCTAGGTTTTTACCAGTTTTCTCTTGTATGAATTTTGGTTTTTTGTTTTGGAGACTGACCAGTACAAGGATTGAACCCTGGACCTTGGTGTTTTCAGCACTGATCTAACAAACTGAGCTAACCAGCCAGCCCCAGTTTTTCCTTGTTACTAACAAGAATGAGGACAAAATAAAAAGTAGTAGGGAAAGTCCTACAATCACATAAGTACTACCAAATTGAGTTCTAAGCTAATTTGTTTTACAATATTCTTCACAAAAAAAGTTAACATACTTAACACTTCTTTTCTCTTTACCCTTCTCCCATGTCTTCAATAACTTATGCTCTCATTTAGCAGTCAGACTATTGCATTTTGTTTTTCCTATGACAATTACTACCTCGTTTTATTACGTTGTCTAACTGAGAGTCTTCTCTTAGTGTGTTTCCTTAAGATTGTTGCTTGGAATTCCTTTTCAGTCATTTCTAGGGTTTCTTGCTCTATAGGGTCTGGTATTTGAGAATTACTGTATTCTTTCGGTGGTGTCATAGTTTCTTGAGTTTTCATATTTCTAGTATCTCTACGTTGATGTCTGGTCATCTGATAGAGCAGTTGTTTCTTCTGTTCCTCTGGAGTGGGCTTTGATGAGAGAGACGTCCTCTTATTTTTCTGGTCTCCACTGGTGACTCTCCTTGTGTCAATGCAATCAAGTGTCTGGCAGGCCACCTGCATGGCTTCTGTGGCACTGAGCCACTTTTATGGCAGCCATGGCTGTGGTGATAGCTATTGTGGGCCACTCACATGGAAGTGGCATTTTCAGCAAGCTCCTTGCCTGCTTCTGGGTGGGGGTGCTGCCCTCAGCTCCTGCCCAGGACCCCAGGCATGTTCTCTTGCCTGATTCCAGGGGAAGGGGACTGCCCTCGGCTTCTGCCTAGTACCCTGGGTGTGGTCTCGTCTGCTCTTAGGCAGAGGGGACTGCCTTCAGCTCCTTCCCAGGACTCTGCATACTTTCGGGCAGAGGTGGTGCCCTTGGCTCCTGCCTAGGACCCTGGGTGTGCTTTCTTGGCTGCTTCCAGGAAGAAGGGACAATTACTATCAAATTTCCATCTGCTTCCCTACTCCTATAATTAATTCTATATCTTCTTACATCACCCCTGTTTATAATCTCTCTACCAGCCCTTCCATTGTCTAATCCATCTTCATCTTAAATGTCAATCTTAAAAACATCTGACCTAGTCCTTCATGTAGTATACGAAACCTGGCTTTCTCTTTTTCTCACCCTTCTGGTCAACTGACAAGACCTAGAGGTCAGAATGCTCTTGGCTCCTACATCATAATTCCATAGTTATCTCTTAATACTTTCTCATTCAATAAGTATTTCACTCAACACCTATGTACTGAGAAATCTATATGCCAGGCACATTGTTAAGTGCTGAGAAGTTACAGATTGAGTGCTTTACAGTCTAGTGAGGAAATGGGCAGATAAAGTACTAATTATAATAATTTCTATAATACATGATGATACAAAGACCACAATGGGAGCACAGAAGACTAACATCTAAACCTGAGGCAACCCTCTGTTGAATTCTATGCCATCTATTTATAAATATCTTCTCTATTTTTGCTCCTATCATCTACTGACCTTAAGAAACCTCTCTCCTCTTCTGCAGAAATTTTGGCACTGAATTATAAAAACTAACACTCTCCTTGCTCTTCAACTCTGCTGCAAGGATCCTTTGTGACTATAATGTCAAAACAGATAACTTTTCTAAAACTGTCCTGTATTAAAACTCTACATTTATAAGGATCTTTATTTTAGCTTTACTATGGAGCTTCTAAATTTGAGTTGCCGTTTTTGAACTGCTCTATCTTTAAAATATCCAAGCTTAAAGACAACTTTCCACATGCCCCACCTTCTCCTATATCTTTTCCTCTCATAAATATTCTTAAATGTCTACAATTTGCCAAGTATTTCTTAGGTGCAGGACATATAGCAGGGAACTTGTTTAAAAAAAATTCCCTGTCCTCTTAAAGCTTACGAGGTAATGAGATACATAAAAACATAAGTAAAAATTTTAAAGTGAGTTAAATATGGACTATGATAGAGAGTGATAAGTTCTAAGAGAAAATAAAGCAAGGAAGACAGAAAATATGTTTACAACTTTTTTAGGGTTTTTTTTTTTTTTTCTTTTTTCTATCCAATTTTAGTTAGTATGAGGCAAGGAAAAGCTTACTGAGAAGATCTGAAGGAAAAAGGGGAGTGAGTTATGTAGATTTTCAAAGGAAGAGCTTTCTATAAGGAGAGAACAAATGCAAAAGTCCTGAAGGAGGAATCATACTTGGCTTTCTGCCACACACTTAGAGGGGCAGAGCAAGTAAGTGACAGGAGAGTAATACGAACCAACATCAAAGAAAAGACAGACAGACCAAATCATGTTGGGCTTCTTACATACACAATGGAGGGTGATTTTACTCTAAAGAACAACTTCTTTGACCCTTTATTGTGATCACTGTTTTGTGACCCATTCCTACTTGTATCCTCCATCAGCTCACCAGGTCTTCTGTCCCTTTTTATCCACAGCCATCCATTTCATGGGGCTGTCATTAACATCCTGAGTTTTCTAATCCACCTTTCTTTCAAAGCTTTTACTAAGAAAATCTTACGTGGGTGGTCTTTGTATCTGCTGCTAAGCTGCACAAGTACTGCAGAGAAAAAGCAAATTATTTCTATTAAATACTCAAACCCTTTAATATCAAGAAACCTGAAACTTAAAGAAATAACCTGAAATTTTATTTTTGCAGCCCTCCACTCTCTGCAGGTGACCTTTTGCCTCAGCTTGTTGGAGTGAGGACTGAAACCACGTTGGGACCTAAAATTGCATGGTTTCTAGGAAAATTTTATTTTTATAAAAAGAATGTTTCTTTCATATCCCCATTGTGACTTTCTACAGACTTTTAAAGGGTATCCAAATTATCTTGTTCCCCATCCTTCTGTTACAAACATAAACTATTTGATTTGTTTTTTTACTCCCTCTTAAAAGCTGAAAGAAAAGTCTATATGAGAAAAAATAAGATGGTAAGGATAATCTACACATCCCTAAATAATGAGTTGTCTTTCTGTTCAATAGAAGTATGAGAATACTTCAAAAAGTTCATGGACGTATTTGTAGTCTTTTTTTTTTTTTTTTTTTTGGTGGTGGCTGGCTTGTAAGGGGATCTGAACCCTTGACCTTAGTGTTATAACACCACACTCAACCAGCCAGCCCTAGGAAAATTTTAAAAGACAGTTTTTTTTTCTTAGCATGAATTTCTCTGAGTTCTCTCTTTTCCCCATGGTTACTTGATATTTTGAACCTTGGTTATGGGGCAAGATGACATTTACATGAGTGAAGAGCTGTTTTACAGGCCCTGAGAAACCAAGGAAGACATCATCTGATTCCACCCTGAAGCAAGTCAAAATCCTTCATGACCCTAAAACAACATCGATGACAAGAACAGAAGCCAGACAGAGCCTTGATGAGAATTTGCACTTGGCCCTGTACACGTAGTCCCTGCAGTTCACATCTTCCACTCCTGTTTTCCATTCCCTCAACCTCCTCTTTAAAAACCCCTGAGTAGACCAACCACCAAAAAAAAAATTTTTTTTAATTGCTTTTTTGATAAAATAAAACGCAAACCCCTGAGTAAATCTGACTGTTTGAGATGGTTTTAGTCTGGCCATCTCCTTCAGCTTTACCAGGGAGATGGCTGAGCTTACTGTCTCCTGAGGCCTTAACAAGGCTGACTTCCTGTTCCACCAACAATTTGACATTTTGGTCGTTTCTGTTTTGGTAGTGGGCAGCTGGCCTTGGATTCAGTAACATGCTTTACACTAAGACCAAAGCCACAGTCCATGACCCTTCCTTTAACCTGGCACCTCTCTTGGGTTTTTTTGTTTTGTTTTTTCCCCCTCTTACAAACTTCATCTGTCCTCTGTGGTTTTCCTATTATTTTGAAGAAAGAAGCAGCTTTAGTCCTTTTTTAATATCAAAGCTTCTCAGAAGATTTAATGTACTTCTTCTTTTCCTATTCTTTTAAAAACAGCTTTATGAAAATATAATTTACATATCATACAATTCAAACAATTAAGTATATGATTCAATGGTTTTGGTATAATCACAGATGTACACCATCATCAGCACAGTCACTTTTAGAACATTCTTATCACCTCAAGAAGAGATCTTCTATCCTTTAGCTATAACTCCCTCTATCCTCCTCACTGCAATCCTAGCCTTCAGCACTCACTAATCTACTTTGTTACTATAGATTTCACTATTCTAGGTTTTCAATGTGAATGGGATCACATAGTAGTGTGTGTGTATTGTTTTTTATGACCGGCTTCTTTTACTTAGAATAACGTTTTCAAGGTTCATCCATATTGTAGCATATATCAGTACTTCATTCATTTTCATGGCTAAACAATATTCCATTGTATGGGTATAGAACATTTTGTTTGCCCATTTGTCTGTTGATGAACACTTGGGTTATTTCCATCTCTCGCCTATAT